CAGCGGCCGTGGGGAAGGTGCGCCCGACGCCCGGTCCCCGCAGTGCTGATGCTGTGTTTCGCCTTTTTTAATGGCTGACAGTAAACACCAGAACCTGCCGGTCCCAGCAGTTGGCTCCCGTGTGCTTGTCAAAACAGAAAACATGTCTTGCTCCCTTTGGCCCATCCGAGGAAACCACCCCCGACAGGTGCAAGCGTGTGAGAGTGACACAAAAAACGCCGGGCCACACAACTTGCCTGATCCAGTTAGTCTTGGTCGCAAAGCCATCAACGAGCCTACGAAGCAAAAGATGTTGCATTTCACTTCTCTGCATAAGGGTCCCGAACTGGAACAGTCAGGAGCATGCTGGCCTGCTGAGAAACACCAGGTGCTGGCCAGGGGCAATTTTTGCCCTGAGCTTGCTAGCCTTGCTGCCTGCACCACCGTGTTCCCCTAGTGCAGGTGGGAGGAGAGGGGGCGGGCGGAAGAGAGGAGATGGCAGGAGAAACTTGGTTCCTAATTCAGAAGTACGATAGCCAACTTAAACCTAGTACCTAGACCAAAAGTTTTTTTTCTTTGAATCCACAGTGTAAATAGGTGAGAAGTTTTGCAGTTCCTACCAAGCTACAGAAAAGTCCCAAAATGCAAGTATTTCAGTGCTTCCGAGTGATAAAACCTCTCTCAGAACCTCACTGTAGATTGACAAGTATTGCTACTGTTGCCAACGCACGTCATATCCAGTCGGTAGGTTGAGTTTGTGAGTTTGGAGAACCAGCTCGAACACTGTTAACCTGGCAGGTCAAGTGTGCAAATTTCTGTATCGGGATTAAGCTAAGGTTCATTGAGCTCCATATTTTATTTGGAGAGAAGAAACATCTACCGTATTTTGCATTTAGCCGGGATAATTTTTGCGTCGGGTGCCAAAAATTTGCTGGATCTCCGAGATCCACAGCCATAACAAGTGCTTTTACTGCGATTGTAAAAGGGCATCTTAAGGCCTGGTGTTTTTCTGGAAGGCAAAGTAGAATCTAATTTTTTTTTTTCCGTTTGGTCTGCTGAACAGTACTGTCAGTACTATTAATGGGTAGAAGTTAGCGTCAAGTCCCAGTAGGTTAGGGGGGAGCTGTTGACTTCAACGGCACTTGAATTGGAAGTGAACCAACTAAAATGAAAAGCCAATGATCTTGTCTTTGAGTCTCCTTCACCTTTTTCTCTGTTCTCCTAGCCCTGACAGTTGGTTGACGATTAAGTGAACTAAGGCTGTCATACAGTGAAAATAACATTTGACAGTACATGATATTCATCGTTTCCCAAAAATTACAGCCTGCTGTCTGTGGCAAGTTCATGTGGACTTTCCTGTCAAAGCATGCACATGGTTCAGGCTATTTGTGTCATGGCCCAAAAGGTCAAGGTAAATACGTAGTGCTTTCTAAAATGTCTGGAACAGTTATCAACTGCAGCTAGTCATTTCAGTCCTTTAGCTAATAGTTTCTCATAGTCAAATCCGAGAGTTGAGAAATGGTTAGCAATTCCTTAGAGTCTTCAGTCCTTCCAAATAACACACAATTCAACGACTTGAATGCCTTTCACAGTGACTAGCCAGCACATAGACCTCTCCACTTGTTGACAATATTTGCTTATGTCCAAATGGCCCTGATAGCATCTTACCCAAGCAAATCTGTCTTTCTGTCTCCTGGGACAACTGGAAGACTTGAAGAAACAAAAGCTGTTAGATTCCTGAGGAGGATACCAGGAGGCATGGTTGGAGGATGTTAGGCACATTTCCAAAATACTCTATGTTGACTAAGTCTTGAAAAGCTCTTCCATAAGTTTCAGCTTCCTCAACCATGTGCAGTGTTCCTGTGTCAGTCACATTCAAAGGCTGCCTAGACAAAATATCATCAATGCCAGAGTCTTGGCAGACGTGTGTTCTTGCTACAGATTGTACCTCCGCAAGCAGGGATTTCATCTTTGACATCACAGAAGCACGTAGAAGTTCTTTCTGTTTCCAAAAACTGCTACCAGTTTTTGAAAAAAGTGAGTTTATGACTTGAATCTGAAAAGTAATTTGGATTTTTTTTTTTTTCATCTGTCCATTTGTAAAGAGGCATTCCATTCTCAGCATCAGTAAATGTCTTGGAGATTTAGGTAGCTGGCTTTGCAGAAGTGCTGTGTGAAGTGATTTACAGTTACCTGCAGGTGGTACAATTTTGAATCGAATTATGTAAAACTAGTAGTTTGGACTCTAAAACACAAGACACAGTAAGGAATCCTAAATGTATACATTAAACTGAACAGTAGATTTACAGCCCTCACGCTGTTTACAGAAGTTGAGCATTATGAGGAAGTTGTTTAATACAAAGCTAGAGACCATAATGTCCCTGTCCATCTGTAATATTTTGGATGTTCATACATAAGCGAGATTTTCTTGGATGCCAGTGTTTATGTTTAATCTCTCCTGTACTTGAATTAAGAAAAAAATAGGCGCAACTGGTGACTTCTTTTAACTGCTGTCATTCTGATGACTGACTCCGGTTTTTTGCGGTTGTGCCTGTGGTGGCAACATTCCCTAAAACACCTGTGTCAATGGAATATTTTTCTTGCTTATGAAGCAATGTACTGGCAGTATGTTTTGCCATTACACTGGTGATGCTTCTCGCTGTTGCTACTAACAATCATTTCTCCACTTCAGATTTTCTCCCTGGTACAGGAGGTGGTAGGTACTTATCCTGCTTATTCAAAAGATGGTAAAGATATCTGCCTACTACCCATGGATTCCAAAACACTTAGAAAAGAGAACAGGATCCGGCATACACTGCAACCACACATCTGCCTTTTTATAAAGACTCATTTGTTGAGAGATCCGTTGCACCAACTTGCCTAAAATGGCAGGTTCCTTGCTGTTGCAGGGGTTAAGTTTTGTTCTTCAGGTTCTCTTGGCTCTCTTACTGTTGTTGTGAGAGGGAGCAAAAATAAATAGAATTTGTATTCTGTAATAGAGGGGAGTCTGTGGGTGCCAAAGGAAGACCAGTTCTACCCTTTGTGTTCAGGTGTGTATGATAGTTAGCAGAAAAGTAGCTTAGAGTTAAGTAAGGGGTGTGCTGGTCTAAATAGCTTCTAATCTTCATTCTGCAGTTTCTGTGAAAACCTTTTTCCTCAAAGAAGCTAGAATAAACCAAGATACTATTGCAGATACATACGCATGCATTAACAAAATACTGTTTGGTTTGGGGTTTTTTTAGCCTTAAGGTCTCTGATAGTCTGAACAGGGTAGTTATAGATACAAAAAGCAAGGATAGATTTTTGGAAGCAGTCTCAAGTGTTATGTTTTATGATTATGATTAATGGTCCTATTTTGAATAACAGAATGCTAATGTGAGCATTCATACAACTGGGTTCAAGGAAGCCCAAGCTAGAGAGAAATTGATTTTGCTCATCTATAACTCTGCCTGGCCTTATACTTTTATTATTCCTTTGAAAGAAATAGCAGGATGACTGTGTGTGAACTTCTATACATTGTCTGGCAGATGTAGTTCTACAAAAAACAGGTATAAGCTCTGTTCTCCAGCACATTTTTTGCTAGTATGTTGCATTTGTTTTGCAGAAAATGCCTTTAGGTTTAGTTTTATTAAGTTTAAATAAGTCATCAGAACTTAGTTCCTTTCTTGTCTTTAGAAAATTTCAGAGGGGCATGTTAACAATAGGACTAGAAACCAGAGTTGGCAGATTTGTCATTTACTTATTTAGTGTATTTAATTAGTTATTAAATTATATGAGATACAGTTACTAGACAACAAAAAAAGACAGCAGCTTAACAAAGCATGGCTAAAAATGACAGGTGATTTGTGCCCGATTTGGATTTAGTCGTGCTGATAGGAAACAAGATGACCAGAAAATGTCAGAGGCCAGAAGATTCAGAATTAGGGAGTAATAAACTGTGCCATTGGTGCAGTATCTGAATTTGAGCAAGTTTCCTTGCTAACCATATGGGTTAAACTTTACACAACACAGAAGACAAAAGTGAAAACACGTTCCACATTCTATGGAATACAACTATGACTCTTGCAGGATTTCCTTTAGTAAAACGAATTTCACCTTCTGCTTTCCTCTTTAATCGTCTGTAAAGTTACCCTGATACTCAAGTGTTTTATGGCTTCTGGGTGAAAAGATTAGAGAAGTGTGAAATACTATTACGTGTTGTTCCCAGGGGTAATTCATCACCAAGTCTAAATATCTGTCTTCTTACTATAACAGAAAATACAGTGAACGGAGTGTTTATCAGTTTATAGAGAAAGAATGGCATTGGTTCTTGAGGAATAACAAGGTGAGGTTTCTAATGGTGTTTAATGTATCTGAGAGAAAAGGCAACGATGCAAGTAAGGGAGGCATTTAATAAGTGTGTTTTAGATCTTTCTTTTTCCCCTCTCAGGCTGTAAACATGTCAGAGAAACAGTTATGTATAGTGCTGTCGATGAAGTCATAAAAATGTAATAGTATCACCGCTTCTTATTCATAGACCCATGTTTTCCATTTGCTTTTGGTAGCGGTATTGCAACTTGAGTGGAATTTGAGCACTACATTGAAGAGTTCCATTTTCACATTGCATTAGCATGTATTTATTTTACAGTTGGACTTAACATATGTTGAACATTTAATTTGGGAATTCTTAGGAACGTTATGGCTGTCTTGAAATATTTGTGTTGGCAGTAGGGTTGACGGGAAAGGAAGAGAGTGGAAGAGAGGAGAAATTGGGATCACTTACTATGATGATAGATTTAACTAATGTCAGTAATAGTATTTTATAACTTGGAGTAGGTAAGTGATAGGTAACAGTGCTATGTTATAAACCAGTGTAAAGTCTGTAGAGTTTTGACAGAAGAGTTTCAAATTATGACAACTTCAAGAAGTTGGTTTAGTACTCTTTCTGTTCCCCTTTGAAAAAAAAAATCCTATTTATGTTGTATTACAGTTGAATGATTTTCTTTACAATTTTATTATAGTGGTAAGGATAACTCAGATAATCTGATATGCCTCCATATGGCAAAATAGTTAAATATTTTAAACAATTAGTTTAAACAACAGCAACGCATCTCGTGTTCTATGTTAGTGTTCTATGCTGAGGTCAAAGTTGGGGTTCTGAGCTGTCCTAATTTGTTGTTACTATAAGTATATAGCAAAGTATTTAATCGATGTATTTTTGCCCTTATATTTGTGTTATCTTAACGAGGCCATATAAGCTTATACAAGAAATAAATTTTGAGAGATTGAGCTTCTTAAGTTGTAGTAAATATCTATATAACCCATCGATAATATTCTTAACTAATATAGATATTTGCAAACTTAGTGTTTTAAATTAAAAATATTTTTAATAAAAATCAGATTCCACTT